AGAAGGGCAAGAAGAGATGTAGAGAAAAAAAAGTTGAAATGTGAATTTCCTACTGTACTCCAGTAACATCCTACTCAGAAGTCATGATGAAGAGCCAAAGACATGCAGGATCCTGACAAGCAAATTAAAAGGAAGCAATGAAAGTATGAGAAACGGGTAAAATGATCTTGACAGCATAATACAAGAGATAAAGTGTGTGATAGAGATCATGAGAATAACAATGGCATCTCAAGTACATACCTCTCACCACCAAACCATACATATGAGAAATTACGAAGGAACATCAGTGCATATAAAAAGGATATACAGAGCAAATTCAAAACTGTATTAAAGACAACAGTGTTTGTCAACAGCATCCACCAGCAGTGCATATCAAGTTGCTGTTTTTTCCCAAGCCATGCTGCATTTTGCAAGGATGGGATGTTTGGTCGGGGGATGTGGGGGGTGGGGGGTGTGTGTTGTATCTCCCCTCTGTCGCCCCAAGTTGCAGGTATCTTTCCACTTGGGCTATAATGTCTCATCACAAATGTCCCTGGGCAAAGGTTTCTTCTTTCTTCTCCCTATCAGGCCTTCACTGAAGGACCTTGCACTTCATGCTGTGAAGCTCATCCCACTTTTATACTTCAGTGTGCATGGTGACTTGTTTCTGCTCATATAGTAGTCTAATCCCTTTCTCTACTGAGAGTGTCTCCTAATTTTTATCATTGTGTCTGCCCAAGAACATTTATTTTTTTCAGCCCTGCTATTATTTTTCAAACTGTAAATCAGTTCTCCTTTGGGAGTCCATGTGAAACACAACCTCCTACTCTCACCCCTTCTGTTGTAATTTGCAATTTAAAAAAAAATGTTTGAATTCCTTGGCATGACAGCCCTGATATGTGATTTCAGACCCTTCTTCCATGTGAGCATTTCTCTGGCATTTTGACTCCACAAGGCATGGCCCCAATGTCCCAGCCAAGCCCTGTGACCCCTGGGCGCAGGGATCCTCTTCTGGGTGACCATCCTTCCTGTTTCAGTGGAAAGTCTTGAAACTTTGGGGGAGAAATGGAGGTGAATTTCAGAATCTCAGTATTTTTCACAGAAACACAATTCCTATGTAATTTCAATTTTTATAATTCATAAACAGAGCAACAAATCCTGGGAAGCACTAGGGAGGCAGGGAGGGGTGATTACCTTGCCAGACCTGGCAGACAGCTGTGTTCCCACTCCTGGTATCAGATACAACAAAAGCACACTCAGCTAATCCCCGCTGGCAGCTACCCTTTCACCTTCTGGTTCTAGTGGTGACACAAGGCAGCTAACACCTCTTTAAATGCCTGGGAGACTCATGTGAAAAGAAATATGGGCACCTAACTGGAAAAAAGCATTATGGAACCATAAATCCCAAGTTAAATTAGGAAAGACCTTCTCATGCAGTACTGCAGGCAAAGAAAATAGTGAATATATGTATACATGGTGACAAGTTGCATGTTTACAGCCACTCATATTTGAGCAGGATACCTTTTGTCTTTAATAAATAGACACAGATTTTTATATATGTCAATGCAGACATACAAAGCGATCAATAATACTGCTCAAACAGTAGACAGCAAGCATGGATGAGTAATTTTATCAGGTGTTTATCAAACTATAAACATGAAAGCCATAATATTGTCTTAAAAAGCTATTCATAGCCAGTATAAATTAGGAATGAGATGGCTAGCCAAGACATTACAAGTGTACAAAAAAGCAGAACCCACCTTAGGTATTAAAAGACCACCATAATTATTCGACTGTTATTCAGACTGACTGTTACAGATGCTTATTTGTCTCCACTGTCTGCAGGAAGCCACGGTCTGGCAGCCTTGGGTTACAGCTCGTCTCAGTTCCTCACTGCAGACCTCACAGTCGGTTCCTGCATCGACTGGCACCATAGTCTGAAGTAGGTGGTTCAAAGGCAGCCTAGCCCCGAGCCTTAACAAGAGCTGACCTCAGCTGGTTGTCAGCCCATCCCTCTCCCACCATGGCCATTCCTTGGTATATTCAATCACAGGCCGGAGTCCCCAGAATCATAAGATTTTCAAAAAGCTCATTTCTTTAGAACCACAAGACTGGTCAGAATGGGGTTATCTTATGCATGGTCCCTACACTCATGCTCTCACGCCTCTTCCTGCAGCTCCAGCCTGGAGCAAGCCTGTTCCTTCCCACTCTCGTGGCAGAGCATCGGCTCTCCGGCCCACGGCCTCGGCCGGGCGGCTCGGGCAAGCCGGGGGCTGGTGGGGAGCCGGCATGATGCCTTACGGCTTCCTTCACCAACCGCGCGCTGGGCAAAGCAGAACTCTGCTTCTACTTCCTTTCTAACCCAAAAAACAGTTTATATCAGTTTACATTTCCAAGGCTATCATGGCAAGGAAAAGTGCCAGAAAGCTACTTTTTTTAAAACGAAAGCCTACTTTACATGTTTAGCTTCTCCAAACAAACGCAGTCTACACCATGTTTTGAGAGGCCCAAAGTCTAGCTCTGCACAAGTGAGAGAAAAACTCAGGGCCTAAATCTTCTTGAAATACATGTTGAGTGTCTGTGATTACCAGTGGAAACGTGCCATAACACACGTCAATCTAATTTTGGAAGCAAAATGTCCAACCGGATGGTGTATTGCTAATTTTTCCTCCTTCCCTGCAAACCCTGTCATTCCCATCTACCCATGTCTGCAGCCATCAGAAAGCGCTGACTCCTGTATATTTAGCATTTGGGCGAGTTTGACAAGAGCCAGCACTTCTGATCGATGCCAGTGCTGCCAAAGGAGATCCGGATGAGATTTACAGACTAGAGGAGTTTGTACCTTTCTTTTCTCTCCCTCTCCCTAACCACGCCTCCACAAAATGTCCCAAGCCATTGTTTTCTGTTTCTGTCACTATGCCATTAACCTAATTAGCCATAGGAAACAAAGAAATCGAGACAGTGTTTAATATGCTGCATTTCCAGAATGACTTGCTACAGATTTTGTCTGTACGCAACAAGAAGATGCCATGAGAAGAGAAAACCTGAAAGTTTATCTAAATTAATCTCTGGGAATCAGAAATAAGAAACAAAGATAAACACTCATTAGAAAGCCTTATTAATTTCTGCATTAGCCTTGATCTTTTTTTTTTGAGAAAAAAGTATTTATAGTGTGTTAAACATTCAAGATTTAAAATTACAGCATTATGCAAACCTATAGTTACACAGCAGAGATATTCTAATATTAACACCTTGCAAATTTATCTTTTTTTAAGGAGGTGAATATCACTCTTTTACCATGTATTTGTCTGGTTTATCAAGTTTAAAAATTGTGGTGTGTCTCTGGACTATAGGGCTAATATAATTAAATCCTATTAACACATCAGGAATAAAATCCTTTAATAGGCACATGAGGCTTTGAGAGGCAGCTCATTCCTGAGCAGATTTAATATCCTTAAATTAAGCAAGTGTGAATGGGAGGATGAATCTTATTAAAAACTTAAATCTGATTATATTTGAAAATTATTGGTTTCTTAATGTAATAAATTATCCAATACAGACTAGAACAAATAATATATCCTAGCTTCACATAACTCCACTCTATAACAAGTGACAAACGAAATTAAGAATGACTGTGGGGCAAAAAGGAAGGTCTTTTTATAAAAGTCATTTTGCATAATGAAATACTTAAATCATTTTAACAAACACTGGGGGAGGGGATGGAAGATATATGTGCAGATGAGGACATTAGAACAGGACTCATTTTTTCTCTTCAAAAGGGGAATGCAAAGACAGTCAGATTGGGGTTTTTTTCCTCTAAAAATGCCATTCTGACGAATTTGTTGTAAATTTTGAAAAGAAAAGCTGAAGCTTATGTTGGTGGGAGCTGATTCCTTTTCCAGAAGGCTAATGCAAATGTAAACCATCTGCCACACATTCTGCTGATAAAGCTGTACTTCCGAACAATGGACCAACAGCACTGGAATACTAAAACATTAGCTCAACATTAGGAAAAAGTTTTGAAAGAGATTGTAACTTCCAGAAAATAGAGGTATTTTCACTGTCCTTTCATGCAAAGAGAAATTATATACTATATGTAAATATATATGTATGTACACACATCTTATGTCAACATATACAGGACATAAATCAGGAATATAGAGGAAAAGGTAAGGGTATCTGTTAACAGGATCCTCTGCTAAGGTATAAATCATATTAAACTGCTTAAGTAAGCAGATATACCTCAAAGCTTTTAAATAACATTGTTACTTTAAATTAAAACTGGAGATTACCATTAATCATTGACTACCAAATATGTTTAGGTCTCTTAACATTTGCTCATTGCAAAGTGTTAGCAAGCAACAGCCAAGCAAGCAATAGTCTGACAATTAGTTGTCTGACAATCAGTAAGTAGTCTGAGGTCTTTAATCAGGACAGTGGACACCATCCAAATCCTAATGATTCAAATGGAAAGACCCAGTGGATTTTTAATCTGGTCCTACGTGACACATTTATGAATGGAAGAACTGGGAACCAGAAAGCTTTACCTCCAAATCAGGTTAACCAAAATAATTTTTCTGTGAACGCATGCAAACAAAAATAGTTAATGTGAAGAAAACACCATCTAAAATGCTTTTATGGAGATAAAAAACTACACAACTGACTAAATAACATGCCCCAAAATGGTTTCTTAAACTACTTTGATGATGGTAGACACCAATATAAGAATCTGTAGTGAGACATTTTATATTTCTATCACATAATGCAGCAGCCTAAAAGAGTTCCCCTATTTCACTGCTATAAAATAATCTTGAGTGCGTTCCAGGCTTAGCATAGGTCACCGTGTATGTATGCACCACCAGAACAGATCTGGATATAATGTAACGTGATCTTAAAATGCTAATGATTTAACCAGAAGACTTCAATATCCACTAGTTCCCCCAAAGGTGTTAATTATTCAGGCATCAAGCTGGGGGTGGGAGGACAAAACTGTATAATCACAAGTTAAAATTTCTCTAAAATGCAACACCAGTAATGCAAGTATTTATTTCCTTTTTTTTTCTTTTTTTTTTTTTTTTAACATACCTGCCTACCAGAGCTGATGCTGTTTCAAACTGTAAGCAGTCAACAGTAAAAGGAAGCCACAATAACCAAAATATCAGAGATGTTTACATGATTCTGCAAGTCCACCTCCATGTGCATTTTCATCATTTGAATGTCTCTTTAGGTAAAAAAGTGTCATTTAATTGCAGAGAACAGAATTTTGACTTCCTTAACAGTAGTTGTCTTGCTCTTTCTCAAAATCTGGGTTAAAAAAAAAAAAAAATCACAATTAGTCTTTCTGTGATTACTGTCTCAAGTTGTATGTGTATTTTAGATTATCAGCAATTTCCCCCCATTCTCTTTTAGTCATTTAAGCAAAATAGCAGATACATGTGTGTTCAATAAACAAAACAGGTTATTCTAGAATAAACAAAGTAACTCTCCCCCCACCACCACCTTTGGTTGCCAGTACTCATTTCTCTTTAAATCTGAGGGAAAAAAAAAAAAAAAAAAAAAAAAAAAAAAGAGTTCTGGTTGTTTCTTAGATGGATGACAGATTTTGTTCTAATTAATCTAGAGCACTGTGTATAGAAACGACTGCAAAAGCAAACATGTCTATTAACAAAAAGCAGTGATTACTGCTTGGCATTTAGCCAGTAACTCTACATAAGCAATGAATTGATGCCTGCAACTGTCTCAGTGCCATATGGGTTCTGCTGTAGCAATGAATTGGATCCAACGCAAGGTTAAGATGTGTCAAATTTAACTGGGGTTTAATTGATACTGGTAAAGAGGCTCTAAATAAAGAAACAGTGTGTGTGCTATTAGAAACAGGATGCATGTCAGCCTACATCCCCCAGCTTGTTGGCAACAGAACTACACTGAGATATCCAAAGGAGTTTCCAAATTCCTCTTTTTTTTTTTTCCCCTTTTTTCCTTTTTTTTTTTTTTTTTGTAAAAAGAAAAGAAAAAGACAGAGACAACAAAAAACTTCAGGTTAACAGGTTTACTAGCACTTAATTGGCACTGAAAGACAGAAGACTAATCAGGTATACAGTGTTACCATCCTCATACGTTTCTGGTTTTTAAATCCTAACAAATCTCTTTTCACAGCAATGCCAGTAAGCTAACGTTTCCATTGATTTATGAAGAAAATATCCCTAAATTACATGAGTGGCAAGATTGCACAGCTTAATATTCAAGAGACAGAAATGTTAAAGTTACCTCCAAGAAAGATTATCTTTTCTTGAACAGCAACAAAATACTGTATGACCCCTAACCAGCCTCAGAAGTTATTCATTGTGTATGATCACTATTTCTGTTCCTCTGACAGCTTTGGTGCAATGAGCCTTTTATACAAAGTGACATGTACTTAGAGTGTAAAGACCTGAATTACTCAGTGGGAGTGGATTAGTGCCTGGCCTGGGAAGCAGGGAGCTGCAGAGAGTTATTCCCATCCCTTTTGTGTTTGGAGTGAGCCAGCAACAATGGGGTGCTGCAAACGTCAGTGCTGACCTCTCAGCCCGGGACTATAAGCCTGGCTGGCTCCCACTTTCTAAAGGACCCTGCTCCCTCCATGCCACCAAATCTCACCCTGAGTGGCAGCAACACCCAAAAGAAACCCAGCACCGGTCACCTGCCAAGCCCCTTCCAGCCGTTGCCAAAAACACTGCAGCGTCCAGGCTGCAACCATACCCTCCTCTCCTGACCAGGCTCAAATCATGTCATGCCTGAGCCTCTAAACTGCTACCATGCTCACTGGCAAATGCTGATATTCAAAATAACAGCCCACCTCTCCAGACTTCAGGTGAGGAAATGGGGATAAAGTGACATAGAAAGAGGAACAGAAACCATTCTCAGTTTGTGGCTCTCCCTGGCAAGGAAGAAGATGGCACTAGGAACCACATTCCCGAGTTCTTCACAGTTTTCAGCATTAATTAAATTCTCTGAAAATAAAGATTACTGTCCCTTACTCTTCAGTTCTTACAGGATCAGGCCCAAAGATACTGCCTAAAAATACCTGATGGAAGGGAGCAAAGACAACAGAGCCAGGCTCCTCTTGCTAGTGCCCAGTGGAAGGATGAGCAGCAACAGGCACAAGCTGAAACACAAGAAATTTCACTTAAACATAAGAAAAAAATATTTTTACGGTGTGAGTGATCAAACATGGGAACAGGTTGACCAGAGAGGTTGTAGCATTTCCATCCCTGGAGATCTTCAAAACCCATCTGGCCACAGCCTGGAGCAACCTGCTGTAGCTGAGCCTGATCTGAGCAGGGCATTGGGCTGGATGGTCTCCAGATACCCCTTCCCATCTCAACCACTCTGATTTGGTGATTTTGTAAATTAGCACCATTTTGAGACTAAGCCAAATCTCACATTTCATGATACAAAAAAATACTGATAAAGAAAGCTGATAAGTAAAAATATGGAACCAGTGTATTTTTTAAGACTCCCTGTCTTCCACTTGTTACATTTCCAAAGATATACTGCTTCCTTCTAACTGTTCCTCATGCTCAAGTGGCAGCAGCCCATAAATATCTCCAGTTTCCTTAAAACAGCTTTGATTTACTTCCTTCAAAAAGAAAAGAAGAAAGAAACCACCCATGCTGAGACCATGCTGAACCTATGCTGGTTCTATTACATCCATCTTTCATATTTTAAATTTTGTTTTGGAATTAGGTTGCTCCTTTACCTCATATTTGAGCAATGCCTGGTATTATGAGGTTCACGTTGAAAGTCAGGATTTCTAGGCGTATCTCTACTAGCAGTAATAATGACTTTACTCTAAGAACAGCCTTGATATGTGAAATTGTTCAATATCTTTGTTTCTTCCTCCCAGACCAGTATATTTCAAGTTAGTTTTTATGACTAGTTTGGCATTTATATACCAAATGGTACCAAGCTTTTATTTGATAGCCTTTAGTCTTTTTACCTCTACACTGAATTCTTGCAGAATTCTATGGCTATTCTGACAACTTTTTATCATAATGTTTTACTGCGCAACTAACTTATTTTTTTTAAATCATTTTGATGCAATTTTGGTACCTTTTGCCCACAGTGGAAAATGTTTTCTAGTAATTGTAATGATTTCTTTTCGCTTTGCTTTGCTGGCAATGTTCTAATCCCTGAGGTAGCTTTCTGCATTGTTTTTAACCCTGCAGGGAGTAATGACTGTGTGACATATTCAGCAAAGGAACCATTTACAGTAAAAGGACATTGTTCCATTACTTATATTAAGAAACAAAGACAAAAAACAAGACAGGAAAATAAAGTAAAAACAACTGTATCTGTACAGCTAATGTTTGATATTTGTCAGAAAGACATAATAGAGTTGTTGTTCTCTGTATGCAGACAGTGGAATCAATACTATTCTACAAATAAACCTATGACAAAGAAAAAAAAGTTGTTCATTGCTTATTAATGCCCAGTAATATTGTGCACTCTATATATTTCAAGCAAAATGCAAACCCTGGTCTCATGCAGAAAAGAACACAATGAAAGAATTATTTACTACTGTATCTTTAATGCCCCACTGTCTTGGCTGAAAAGTAGGAGCTTGATTTTCTTCCTCCCCGTCCTTTCAAACGATGCATGTGTCTGAGAGACAAGATTGGCATGTTACTGCCAATTCTCTAATACACAGTCTTGTACACTGGAAATCAGTATGGAACACTGCACTCGCATCTCCCCTAACTTTTTACAGCCTTTAAATTGCCAGTCTTCTGACTACATTTCTTCAAACAATATTGCCATCTGACTGATATCAATCAAATGTATTGCCCTTTGATGTCAGAACTCACAGAGTCATCCCACTTGACTGAATTTTGATTACCTCTGTATTCAGAAAAGTAATGTGTTGTTCTTCAAAAAATAAAAAAGCATAGCCACTATGCATATTTAATAAAAGGACTATTGGCTCCTATATCAGGAAAATAATGCCAAAAACATTAACTCTGAGATTCTAACTTTGCGTGCATGATTTTCTTCCTGAGTAGAGTAGATTTTTCTTTATAGTGTAGTATGGAATGGAAAATAAACATTTAGAGATTTAACCTCTAATATCAGGTTTTCATCTGTTGTGGCCCCCAAATTTCCCACATCCCACTAGTCCTACAGTACCAGCACAGAAGGGGACGTGCACCCTGTTATGATGTTCAGTGCTATTCCATATGTATCACAGCAGGGGAGATGCTACCACCCATCTTTATTTTTTTCTTTCCTTTTAACTGGTTGTTCGTTAAAGCATTATTCAAAGACAAAAGCCTTTGCTCAACTGGAAAAAACAAAAACAAAACCAAAAACCACCCCAGATATCAGATTCCTTATTGTTTAAGTCAGGTGAAAAAACTGCACTAGCAGAGACACAAAGGATGGGAGTCCAACTAAAAGCCTCAAAAACACTGATCATAACTGCTGCATTCAGTCAGACTATGTGGAAATTAAGAGAGACTGGATAGCTTACAATGAAACATCATGTAAAAAATGGTCTGTGAAACTGTGCTGAAAACTAGAGTCATAACTTGGGGGTTCTCTGATGCTAGGGATTTGGGGTTTGAGGAGTGGGGGTTTTGCATTTATATTTATCCTGTATTTTACTTTAACCTCTGCTGTTATTTTCTTTCTCTTTGTTCCTCCCTTTGCTTCGAGGAATGCATACCTTTCCCTCAACAAAATAATGGACAGCTGCGAAAATTACATCCATTGCTACCACACACAACTCCATCCCTCCACCCTGCCAGAACGAAGGCAAGAATAGCAGACTTATGTCTGTAAGTCAGAAGAAGAAATTTCATCAGAATTACCTTTGCAAGAAGATATCTTAAAAGCTGTCCAAACAGGTAGAGCCATTGGCCATCTTTCAGTCTGAGGCTGAGCTTAAGTATATGTTGTTCTACTCCTGAACAGGAAAGAAAGACCAGTTCCAGGACATGAGATCAAAGATGGTCTAAGCATGTCAAAGATAACTGTTTGCAAAGCAGGTACAGACTAGCAAAAATCACTTTCTCCTTAAATATTAAAAGTGATGAGGAGATAGGGAAGATTTGCAATCTTAAGAAGGAGGCAATCCAAGTCACCATCAGGTGGGAATGGTTCCCAAACCTGTGGATAACAGAACTAAAAATATTAATTTCAAAAGACCCCTTCTAAGAGATAGGACCTCAGGCAGCTAAAATTCTAATCTTTAGGAAAACATCTTTTGATAGTAAACTGTTAGTTACAAAAATAAATAAATAAACATATAGGTAGGTAGGTAGGGAGAGAGAGAGAGAGAGAGAGAGAAAGAACAAACAACCACCTTCTGTATCTTCCTAAGCTTCCTTTTTGGTCACTTACGTAACTGAGTGGGTTGTAACCATTCTTGACTTGGTTATTGGTATACCTGCTTTACAGTACCTACCCCAGCATGCTGCTTAGACTCACTAAATTAGCACAGTTTCTATAGTCTGTGTTTCAGATAGCATTGACTGTCTTTTGCTTATGTCCCTCATGAAAATTCAAGTCTTCTGCGATGCTTAACTTTTGCTGCACTCTCACTCCATCACTGTTGCCAATACATAAAGTTCCTTGGCACATCAGGGCAGACAAACTGTTTCTCTGGATGGCTCATTTTTCCAGAAATGACATGTGTCACAAAGTACCTCAGACTCCTTAAACCCCGTATTCATTCCCAGCCAGTCAATATATTCTCATGCCCTTGTATACAACCTTCAGTCCTTGAAAGGAAGAATAATTAACTTTTATAAAACGAATCCTCAGTATTCCTAGCATAACTGACTGTACTGTCACATATAAAGCCTCTGCTTCTTCAAAAAGCCTCCTCATCCTTTAGGGAGAAAAAGAAAGGATATCACCTACTTTCCTAATTTTCAGCCTCTGAATAAGCATAAGTATTTATGGAGGTAGCAAAACTCTATGCCTTCAGAATTATGTCCTCTTTTTGCTGGAGACAGACACTCTGAACACTCACAGCATCATTTTCCTTTTCTGGGCCAGGCAAACTGCCCCAGCCACTCTTTGCTGAATCTGATCAAGCAATGAAACTTGCTTGAGGCTATACATAATTCTTAAAATTGTACTTTGAAGAATGATTTTAACTCAAAAGGGTGGTGGATTTTTTTTCATCTCAGTTTAAATGGCTTATGGTGACACATATTTCTATTGGTCAGCTAAATGAAAAGATTGGATCTGCCAGACGTTACAGTACATGGGTAGTGCCAATCAGAAAAAAAAATAAGATTTACAACTGTGTGGGTAGTTTATATCTCTGTTAGTTTTAGTCTGCCTTTTCTAAGGCCATTAAAAACTTCTTTTGAGTTGTACTTACGACACAACTTCTAATATATTAAGAGATAAACATCACTATGAGTTTTCTTTGCTTCTTCAAAGTGCTGTTCTTGCATTCAGTATCCATCACAAACGCTCCACTTACTATCCCAGTTTTATTGCCTGGCTGAGCATGTTTAAGCAGAACCACCAGGGAAAAACACCAGGCACCGAGGTAAAGACCTCGGGAGCGGAGGCGAGCGGGGCTGCCCCCAGGCTCCTCACCGGGGCCAAGGTGGCAGAGCCACCCCCGCCGCCACCAGCCATCACATCCCGCACCCAGCAAGCTCCAGGCACACAGCAGGGCGGGGTGTTCACCCAAACCAGGAAGCCACAATGCTCACTGCATTAGGAAACAGATCTCCATTCGGAAGCAAAAAAGGCTGCAGTGTCACAAGACCACTGTATTTCCTATTTTTCCAGCTCCTCACTGGCCTAGCCTCTCTCCTTTATTCTTCCTTTTTTAATCTAGGAATGCATTTGCCTTCAACCATAAACAGAAGAAAATATAGAGAGCTCAAGCATCAAAACCCTTCAATCTATAACCACATGTATGAAGTTCTTAGCAACTAGCACTAAAGAGCTCCTGAATGACAGTAGGAAAATCATAATTGTGACTGAAATGACATCTACAAAATTAAGACTCAAATCTTTGGCATTTCCTAAAAGCATTGGTTGCAAGAAAATTGCACGAGTGGTGCATTAGCATGGGGAGCAACCCTCCTCCAAAATAGCCCACTCGTGGATGACTAGTAGATTTTGCATCATTCAGAAAAATATTAAAAATAAAATCCAAGGAGCTGAGCATAGTATATAATAACATTGAATGGTTACTATGTTCTGGTCATCTGTTAGAAAGTTGTTAGAAGATGACACCTGCTTTTCAGAAGAAAGCCATACTTAGATGGGGCTTATATCTATTTAGTGGGATTGATTTTTTAAGGCATACTCAGACACCATATTTTTCAGACATATTTCTTCTTTTCCTTTCTGGCAGCCCAATAGTAAATCTGTTGTTGCAAACCTGACGGATACCACTCCATCCTCTGCAGGAGTCATAGTTTACTTATAGACAAGACGGCACTTCCACCATAAAGTCCAAATCATGAATTGCCTTTTCAGTGTTCCTAAAACACCAGAGAGTCCTACTTCCCTCTTCAGCCCAATCCCAACCTCTTAAATAATTGACTCCAACTTTCCACATTATTTGCAAATAAAGTCGTTATTATTTTAAAAAAAAGGCAGGGAAATTAAACACAGTATGTCATTTTAGAACAGGGTTGTTGCTCAGATAGTAATGACAATTAGGATACACAGAGATATGCAGCCTATGGACTGGTTTAATGAGGAGAAAATCCATAACCTCCCCCAGAAGATGCTCTAGCCATTGCAGGAAAATAATAAAATCCCAAAATTAAAAATCTACCTAAAGGCTGCCTATCCATCCCATAGAGTGATTAGTGTGGGGGTTGGATGCAACAACCAGTTCTTTACTAAAGTCTACAGAGTACAGAGGAATACGGAGATAAAAGTTTCTTCTGGTGTTCTTTAGAGAATTAACGGAACAACTAAGGAATAATTAAATAATATTTTAATGAGCTAGGATGTCCATCTCGGAAATTCAGAGGACAAAAAATTAATTGGAGAGGGTACTAGCAGGAAATTTCAGAAGTCAAGCACAAAAGAGGTTAGCACCAGAGGATACAATAAAAAATTAGTTTAGCCTACAATCCAGAGTACTGTATTGTTCTTGAAAAGCTCGCACAATGCTAGAAAACTGTATGCTGTGCTGCCAGCAGTTTCAATAATATGTTTTTGGAATGGCAGTTCTTGCTTTTGGTGCTCATTTTAAAATGGCTCTTGTTTATTTTGTATCATGGCTCATCATGTTTTGCTTTTTGGACCAATTCTTTCCTTCTTGATTTGATGTTTCTTGGATGTTCAATCTTCAAACAACTTATCTTTTAATTGTCACATTAAACATGGCACGGCAGTACTACTTTTTGGTATTGTCCTTAAGTATTATTTTTTTAAGCTCTGTCAGAGGGATTGGCCTTCCACTCTCTTGCCTCGAGTCAATAGGTTCTCACCAAAGTCTATGCTGTGCCTTTTCTCTTCACATACTTTTCTATCCCTGTATTTTGTCCCTAAAGGTTTCTAACTTCCCCAAAATCAACAGAGCATCACCTCTTAGTGATGGTGTTACAGGCCAATACATCCAGGTACATACAGCATAATTACACTACCATGCAAACAATAGGTGTTTTATCCCAGCAAGGGGTTTTACAAACCATGTAGTTACCAATACTTCATTTCAGTTCTTAGCTGCTGCGACAACTGCTCCCAGAAAAACTAAGCATAAAGTTCAATTTTACCCTTCATCAGTTCAGAACCAATTGTTTTATGAACTCCATTAGGAAATATTTGTTTATGGAAACATTCCTCTGGACCAGAATATTTGTATTTCTCTACTATTGGTTAGGATTTCTCTTCCACCCTGACCCACCATGCCCACCTCTGGACAGATAACAGCATAGGCCAGGCCCTATTATTTAATTGCAGCTGAACAACACAATAATTTTGAGTCTATTATTCCCATTCTGCAAGTGATATACTCAGGCAGTCTAAGTCCTGAAAAGATACACTTGCCTGTTTCAATCACAAAACTCAGGAAAGTTTTAGCTGCATAAAGTATTTTAAGCTAAAAAAAAAATACAAAGAATAAACCACTGTATAGTTGTCTTTTTGACCCATTCTGCACTGCCTTGGCTCATTTCAGGGAAGCATCTCTGTTCAGGAAAGCAATCATGGACAAGTTCAAAATTACCACTGGCTTAGGTGTTATCCTGAATTCGGGCAGTTTTTATAAATCAGCAGCCTTATGAAGGTTTGGACAATCTGTATTTTTGTCCTTCTGTTTTCAAATGCAGAATACAAGCCCAGTAGTCATTACGAAACATTGCCAACTGTGAAGAGGGCAATTACTGATAGAAGGACTTTACCTGCTTCTGGTTCCAGCTGTGCAATGTACTCACATCTCATACATACAAAGGAGGTGAATCTCCTATTCCATTCATTATTATATCCCAGATTTTAAGACTTTCTAGATTTTTTGCTATGAATATACATTTTCAAACAGAGCTTACTCCAAGCTATCCCTTTGACAGCACATGGATGACCACAGAAGTTCTTGGAAATCTTCATTCCTTGCAGCAGGTTCAGTCTACTCCACTACTCCTGCACAGGTATGTAAGAGCTTGCAAGACAGGACGATATGTGGCACTGAATATTACTGTGAAGAGAGGAGTATTCTCACTCATGCATGCATGTACAATAATGTGCTGCAATCGCCAACAGTCCTTTCTATTTCAAATTTTACTCTCTTCTCATATCACCTCCAAGGACCAGTAGAATAATAGAGATATCTGCAAAGGGGAGCAAGAGATCTTTACAGATCCTCCTGCCCTACCATAATTTACTGTCTTTACATCCCGTCCTGATGGCTGGTTGCTTCCTTCATCACCACCGTGCTTTTTCCATTATGACAGAAAAC